TCGGCCACTGGACTCACTCTGTCAGTGCCTAAAACAAGTAAACGACTGGATGCAGTCAAATTTCCTTCAACTAAACAAAGACAAGACAGAAGTTATTGTCTTTGGCAACAAGAAGGATATAATGGAAGTTATTGTTCAGATAGACTCCAAGGGAATAAAGACAAAGACCCAGGTTAGAAATCTTGGTGTTATTATTAAGTCCGACCTGAGTTTCTCTAAACATATTAAGGCTATAACTAAATCAGCATTTTATCATCTTCATTAAACATCAAGAGTTGGAGGTCTCATGTCCAGATCAGACTTAGAGAAACTTATTCATGCTTTTATTTCTAGTCTGCTTGTCTACTGCGATGGTCTCCCAACTGGTCTTCCCAAAAACGCTGTGAAGCAACTGCAGCTTGTTCAGAATGCTGCTGCTAGATTCTTAACTGTCTGGAGGCAGGCGTTGCAGATTTGCAACAGTTAAAACCTACCTACCTGGCTACTTCACATACGTATTTCATGAGCATTTTTTAACTCAGAAGTACCCCTGAAGGATATAGTTGTTTGTCCTTTTATCAAAACTTATTTTGAGCCTGAGAGGGTTAACAAGAACTAAGGGAATGGAGCACATCACTCCTGTTCTTAGATCCCTACCCAGCTTCCCCATGACCTCAGATCTGCCCCAATCCTAGTGTTGTTTAACCCTCCCACTGTCTTTATGGGTGAAAGTTGACCATTGAGCAGGATTGATGGTTTATCCCTTGAGGTCCACGTGGCAGGGGTGAGGTGGTCCTCACTCCTTACCCCTGCCACATGGACCCAAGGGATAAACCATCAACCCTGCTGAATGGTCAACTTTCCTCGCTGGTTAACCCACATTAGGACAGTGGGAGGGTTAAATCAAAACTAAAAACCCAAATGTACTCATCAGCCTTTAAATGAATTGTTTCTTATCAAGCGATATCTCCACTGTAACTTTGTCTTCTCCTTTACCTCTAAACTGTAATTCTATCTATGTGCATTTTAATTTGTGTTTTTATATCATGTCCTGATAATTGTAAAGCACATTAAATTGCCTCTGTGTTTGAAATGTACTCTATGAATAAAGCTGCCTTGCCTTGAATGAGTATAAATTGTTCTTTGGGAAAATGGTAGAAAACTCACTCTGACTTATTTTTTCTCTGATTTTATCCTAGATCCTATGGTATCCTTTCCACCTGTCACACCTCACATCTTGAGGGAGTGTGTAGCCGTATTCTGTCGGACCGGAGTGCAAGCTGTGGCTCTATCTGGCATTCAAATTCTGGAATATCCGTGTACATCCCGGAACGTGAGTGGTGCTCCAATATTCTTCTATGTTGTTTTCCTCTTGTCCAAAAAATGTGCAGCTCAGGCTAGCATTAACAGTAGATCAGACTAGCATTAGCCGTAGCTCAGACTAGCATTAGAAGTTTCTCAGGCTAACATTAGCAGTACCTCTGGCTAGCATTAGCAGTAGCTTGGTTTAGTGCTGTTCTGCAGTTAACATTGTCAAGATAATTTTGACAACATATAAGGGGGTTGTGACATGCTAATTTAAGGTGGTATGTCTGTTTATGAAGTGTTATACTAGCTTTTCTCAGAATGGGATGTTTCTCCATGGTCATTACAACACTACTAATTTACATAGGAAAACATGTTGGTACTTTAGACGTCCAGGCTACCTTAATTCAACAACAAGGTAAATGTCCAAAGGATGTTCATCCAAAACTTCCTGGATGATAATAAACAGATGCTCTACCACTCCCTCCACATTTCCTCACATGAGACCTTGGACCTTACTCCTTGGACCTGCTTGCAGAAGGTTGTGCTGTTACATCTGAGAAGATGAGAATTGCAGCTGAACTGAGAGAAAGTTCATGGACTCACTTACACTGACACACACATGCATGCATGCATGCTCTCACATGACAGACATGCACACACTCCCAGTTTTTCAACATACATCCCTGAAACTCTCCCCCAAATTCCTGGGCAGCAGAAGTTGAAGGCTAGGCTAATGAATAGCTGCTAGTCTCCCTCTGATGCATGGGAATACCAGCCCTTCCGGTTCAGGTGCAACAACGTAAATGCAATATGACGGTTTCACTTGACAACTTTTGTGCTTCTTGTATTTCTAAAACATCAAACAGTTCTGGAATGTAGCAATGTTATCTTTTTGAGCTACTTGTTGTAGTAATTTCCACTTTACATTGCCTCTCTGTCACATCATTAACCCTTGTGGTAAGAAGCAAAGTTAAATTTAGGCTTTCTTACATGAGAAGAGCGATGGTTTTGTCTTCATATGTTGGCAAAAATGTGAGTTTATAATCAGTAGAACCAAGTTTTTTCACAACTGTGAAGCTGCAAAGCAGCACTGGTGGCATCCCGCTACACTCATCGTTTCATGATTAGAATAGATCTGTAATTTTTAACCGTCTCATGAAATTGAAATTGGAGGCAGAAAAAATCTGAGGCAAAAACCCTAAATGGTCCAATGATGCCAAGGTGCTTTAGCACTAAATTTGCACTCTGAAACTAAAATGTTTGCCCTTCATTTGTAAACGGCTTCAAATTAAACAAGTTCATTTGCACTTAATGAGTTTTCGACTTATGTTGAATGTAATGCAACTCATTTGGTGCAAGTACTTTTATGTCGTGGAATGTGCCGTCGGCGTCGCTATGGCAACTCAACTCTGTCTCCTATCCCAGCCTGGGCGGGACTGCGGGAAGGCCGCTGAAACGTTCCAGGGTCACTGCAACCCTCAATGCTCCTCCCCCTATCCACACTGAGGTGACATGTGCTGCTTCATCGTGGCTGCAGGAGCTGAAGTAGGGATAGTCCCAACCCACCACCCCACCTAGTGGACACTTATGTGGTGTTGTCTGAAGTCTGTTGCATATATGTTTGAGGTGTTTTGTTGCAGAGCAAAGCTGCCCTCCCAGTGAAGGGTAACTCTGAAGTGCCCTTTTTCCCCCTCCACCTGAACCAATCCTCATGTAACCCTCTTATCTCTATTAAGGTAGTGCGACTCAGGGTTGCGAATGACCACAGTCACCAGTTCTTGTCATGTGTCTTGCCCATGTATGTCTGATCTCTGAATTGTGTGTACTGAAACTCTAATTTCCCTCTGGGATTAAAAAAGTATCTTAGACTTTGACTTTAAATATATTTTCTAACATTCCTGTGTGGCAATGTGAGGAAATGTGGCATAAACGTTGGAAATGGGTTTCTACTTGGCATTTTTCTGATATTGTCATTGACCAAAGTAAACTGCATCACCCAAAGAAATAAACAAGTCAGGCTAAAGCATGCATGGTTAGCTTCATGGAGACTAAACCAAAATAAAAGGCTGAAACCAGAAAGGATGAACTGGAACAAATGATTGAGAACTCTGAGTCCAAACACTAACGTAAGAATGACTACATGCAGGATTTCTCAGCAGCAGGTTGTCTCTCAAACCGGCCTGGCCATGATGTGATTTATCAGAGAGAGCAACCTTCTTTCTGGTACTGCGTATGACGGTTGAACGGACCTCCAGTCCCTGAAAAGGCACATTCTCCTCGGCATTCCCCTCGTTTCTCTCAGCCTCCTGTTTTTAGTTCAGCTTGTAACAAAAGGAACAGATAATCTGTCCTCAGGCGGGCAGCTTTCCCATTTCTTCTTCTCTTTGTAGCTTTAGTCCTTTTCTTTTCATTCCTTTCAAATCATAATTGTAACAATTCTGCCAAAGCATCTGGACAACAAAGCCAGCGTGTCACTTTAACATCAATAAAGAGTTATCGTATTATGTCATCGTGTTATACTTGTGTAATTACAACACAAAGATCCACGAAAAAAGACTATTTACGGTTCTGAACAGCACTGTTTATGCAAACAGGAATGTGCCTGGAAAGCGGTGTGGACAGACAGAGGGCGCTTGTCTTTCTGAGCGTAACTGGAAGCCAGCGGAGTCCTCTTGTAAGGGCAGATGGTGGTAGAAGTAAAAGGGCAGCAGAATTAACACTCACAACATGTTTCTCCTGCTCGGCTCGCTAAAGCAAAGCAGAAAGCCTGAGAGTGATGAGGCAACAAGAATCAACAGGGGAGCTTATAGGAAACATGTCATCACTGCCACTGTCATGTGTGACTCAGAGGCTGATAGCATTCACTTCACATAAAAACTTCTGATGTCTCCTGGTGACATCCTCTCTGTTTTCCTCCAGCCTCTATTTTTCCCTTTCCTGCTGTAACAAAAGAGCAGCGAGCGTGACCTCATGCAACGCTCCTATCTTTGCTCCTCTGTTCAAACACATCCCTTCATCTCATCCCCGACTTGGCTTTTATTGCTGAGTCCTGCCGTTATCCCTGGCTTGATCCGACTACCTCTCCCGCGCTGTTGTGTCACTCCCGGTTGCAGATATGTTGAAGCACCCAAGCAGGAGTACTTGCACAGATGAACTCTGGATCAAGTTGTGCAAAAAGGAAATGCATAAATGCACAGATTTACCCGTTCAAAAATGAGGAAGGAAAATGGGGCAAGATGGAGCACGAACACACTCGCTCGTTTGTGAACCCACACAGACGAGCAGCCTGCTCTCACACCAGGACGCAAACAAGTCAGCACACAGGTTTAGGACACATACAGAGACACCCGGCAATATGGTAAGGACAGTATACACACACAGCAGGGTCTCTCACACACAAACAAGCACACTAAAATAATCCACACAACTCATACACACGTGCATTAAGCCTTTAGAGCATTCACACACTTAAAAGAACACTGCTACAGACAAAAATAAAAAATAAACACACACACACAATAACTTAAAAACCCACATCTCTGCATTCCTTCTGAACAATCTTCCTGCCACAAACCGCCCTACACAAGTATATGTGTCCAAACCTCAAGATGTGCAACAACACTGACCAACACACTATTTTCTTACCTCAGGTTGCACAAATGGAGACAAAAATAATAACAAAAACAATAAATCATCCAGGATGCACTTCTCACCTTCCACTTCTTCCTTGCCTTTGTACCAGCGCAGCCTGGCGGGGGGCTTGCTGCCTGTGCTGGTGCAGGTCAGGGTGACTGTTTCTCCATCTCGCACTGGAGTTTCAAACCCAGAGATCTGAGGTTTGTCGGGCACTCCTAGAGAAACATAAAGCAGCATAAACAGCCAGAAAGTAAGAAAGACTGGCAGGGGAAACGTTTGTGCTGCAGGGCTCACCTTGTAGCGAGAAGCAGCAATAAATGAAGGCTAGTGGCTAAGCCTCTGACATCTACTGTATATGCTGGCTGAGTTGTGGTGTATTGAATTGGCTGAAGTAGGAATAAACAAGAAAATGTGATACAGCTACTATTATTTATTATTAATATTGTAAATGATAATTCTGATTTGAATGATACCCTTATTATTTACTTTCTATTATTTACTATCAGATTAATGTATGCGTTTAATTACTTATTTTATCTCTTACACATGAAGGATTTTATCACGTTCCAGAAGAATAATTTATAATAAATTATTTTTACTGTTAAATCACCAAAGGTTCATTATAAATGTATTTTATTACTGAAATGAATTATTATTCTGTGGTTAATAATTATTTATGATAATCAGTCATGTTTAATCATGACAAGTGTATTATTTGCATCCTCAGACATAGTCTCCATGTTGAATGGTAACCTTGCACTCACATAACCTTTGTCACATGACAACCCAGAACTTTTGGTCTCTGAGAGGGCGTGTTCCGAGGTATGTTAAGTCCCACCCTCTAACATGTCAAAATCTAATTCGTTAGAATAAGATTACCGGCCGTCTCTTAAAACTAACTCCTCAGGTCAAGTTCAGTTCTTGAGATCACCAAATTCTCTCCGTGGCAACAAGAGTCCAGAGGATCGAGTCGAAACCTCTACTAAAGCTTTTCTGTCACGCCGATAGAATTGCTTCAACAGAAACACCATCTGCAGCACAAGCTGACGCAAAACTCCTTCAGAGTTATTGATTTTTGAGACGCAACCAGTTTCATCAGTCGTTGTGACCCAGAGACATCTCAGGACAGATGTGGTCGCACTACGGTTCTTCTACCCACCTCGTGCTTGGGGGTCATCATCTCCTCCTGACATCTCAGATCCAGAAGGGGGTCTCCTAACTGGGTGAGGTAGACACTTCCGACAGATTGCATCTGAATGCCTTTTATTAAGAAATAATTTAGCTTAACTGCAAACCAAATTCTTTCACCCAGAACACGTTTTTCTCTCTCTACAATAAAACCTTCTGAGACTTACATTCACACATCCAAACGCACACACTTCATGTTTAGTTTCATCCAGATACAGATTGCTTTAATACCAGGCTTTAATGCCAAAGCCTTTTATAAATTGTCATTTATGATTTGTCTTTTAAATTGTCATCTTTAAATTGTTAGTAATAAATTCTTAAATTTTTAAACCTGACTCTTCTTAGACATAAGACACAGAGTGGTGTATATTGATCATTGAACGAGCAAAGATCTCTTTAGATCTTCTGAATTAATAATTAAACTTTTGCTATTAATTTAAATCTCATAAATTAAATATTAATCTTTTGATTAAATATAGACCAAGCCAATTGGTGTATGAACTTCTATCAATTATATAAATGTCCTAATTGCCAATTTGTTAGATCTTTGTCAGAGTTTAACAAAGCTGAATAGCAACAGCGTTAAATTCTAGTTATGTAGATTAAACAACACTACACAGGAAAGGCAGTGATGAGAGGTAAAATAATCTCATTCTCATCACATAAGAAAAAAACAGAAAACAAACGTATTCAGGAGTTAGAAGAAATTATTAAGTCTTTAGAGGCATCCACAGAAGAAGAGTTACTGAGCAATTACGTAAAGCTAAATTAGAACTTCATGGAATTATTGACAAAAAAGACACAATTTTTAGCACAAAAACTATGAATAGAAAACTTTGAACAAAGTAATAATTCGGGTAAATTTTTAGCTAACCAGTTAAAAGTAAATAAAGAGAAAACTACCATATCTGCTGTTAAAGACTCAACCGGGAATATAGTTTATGGTCCTGAAAAAATAAACAACACTTTCAGAGACTTTTACCAAACTTTGTACTCACCACAGATAAACCCATCAGATAATAAGATCAATGAGTTCCTTGACAGAATAACACTTCCTAAATTATCAGACAGCCAAGCTACAGTCCTGGACTCGCCACTAACATCAGCTGAGCTCCAGGAAGCTCTTAAATCCATGCCTAATAGGAAGGCTCCAGGTCCAGATGGGTTCCCAGCAGAATTCTACAAAGAATTCTGGATCATTCTTGCTTCAAAATTCTTCAGAATGGTGAGGGAAATCGAAGAGAGCGACCGATTACAGCCAAACATGAATTTAGCCGATATTAGTCTTTTGTTAAAACCAGGCGAAGACCCTGTATTTCTTACTAGCTATCGCCCAATTTCTCTTATTAATGTGGATTTCTAAATAATTTGTAAAGCCCTGATAAAAAGATTAGAGAAGGTAACCCCCTTCATAATACACCCTGACCAAACTGGTTTCATTAAGGGTAGACTGCCATCAACAAACTCACGTAGATTACTTAATTTGATAGATTTTTCTTGCAGCAGAACCATAGAAACTAGTATATTATCTCTAGATGCAGAAAAGGTGTTTAATAGAGTTAACTGGAAGTTCTTATTTGCAACTTTACATAAATTTGGTTTTGGGAACTTCTTCATAAACAGACTTCAAACATTATACAGTTCACCAACAGCACGTGTCAGGACGAACAACCAAATATCAGCTAGCTTCTGTCTTCAGAGGGGGACCAGGCAGGGATGCCCACTCTCCCCCTCACTGTTTGCTATCTTTATCGAACCACTAGCAGCAGCAATTAGGCAAACAACAGATATTAAAGGGATAAAGTGTAAGAAAATGGACCATAAGATCAGTCTTCATGCAGATGATGTTTTACTCTTTCTCCAGAATTCTCAATCCTCTCTCTCCCAAGCAATAGAACTGATAAACTCTTTTTCAAGAGTTTCAGATTACTCTATAAACTGGTTAAAATCCACAGTTCTACCAATTAATTTCTCATTTGTCAATTTGCTTAATACACAATTGGAGTCAGGGAATATCACATACCTGGGAATTAATATCTCTCCCAAGTTAGCAGATCTAACCAAACTAAACTACATCCTACTTTTAAGGAAAGTGGAAGATGATCTTGCAAGATGGAAATCCTTACCAATATCACTCATGGGGAGGGCTGCTACAATTAAAATGATGGTCTTACCCAGAATAAATTACTTATTTTCAATTATCCCAAACAAACCACCAGCTGACTGGTTTAGATCTCTGGACTCCTCAATTACTAAATTCCTTTGGCAGGATAAACCTCCACGAATTAGATTCAAAACACTCCAGAAGACCAAAGATAGAGGACTGGATCTACCTAACTTTTATCATTATTTCTTAGTCAACAGGCTGCAATATATACCAAGATGGTTCCAAGATAACCCACTAGATGAATCCTGGTTAGATATAGAACGACACTTTGCAATACGATAGAGCTTTCAGACTTACCATTTATTAGCTCAAGCATAAGAAAACATGAAGGCTTCAAAAGTATTAATATCAGCACCTCTCTGGCAGCATGGTGGGAGTATCTAAAAATGACAGAGTCTTCACTAATTCCATGCAGACACACACCTATCTGGAATAATCCTGGTATTTTGCAAAATAACAAAATGATTAACCTTACGGACTGGGAAAGTAAAGGAATCTTATACCTGGAACACATATATGAAGGATTGGACTTCATCCCATTTAAAAGAATAGTCTCCCAATTTGGAATAGATAAGAAAAGCTTTTTAGAATATCACCAAATTAAATCTGTAGTTAAACAAAAATGTAAACTCAATAAAGTAGAATTAAAAACAACACCAAGGGTATTTGACTTCTATAATCTCAAACCCCCCAAACTACTGTCTAAAGTATATAAGACACTTTCCAAAATAGACGATAGTATAGCAATCCCTATTGAAAAATGGGAGGTGGATCTACTGTATCAGTCAGCCATGACCAGAACTTCTGGTCCCAAACTTGTTTAAAAACTTTAAAAATGATCAGACACCCCAATTTACAATTATTTCAGTACAAAATTCTACACAGAGTACACTATACAGGTCATCAGATGTTCAAGATGGGGTTTGTGTCGTCTGACACCTGTACACACTGCACAAACAACATTCCTGACAATTACATTCACGCACTGTGGTCCTGTCCACCTGTCCAGGAATTTTGGGGTAGAGTATGTGAAGACCTGTCAAAGTGTCTGAAATGTCATATCCCAACTTCCCCCTCTCTTTGTTTGCTGGGAAACCTGGACGATGTACCGATTGAAACGTCTTTGGTTCACGTGGTTCTGACAGCCATATGCATCGCTAAGAAAACTATCCTCATGAATTGGAAATATAGAGATACTCTTTGCATTAACCAGTATAGAAATATTTTGTTAGATCATATTGCACTTGATACAGCCTCTGCTTCCACTTTAAGTCAATCTCTTTGGGCTCCTTTGATTGGTTCCATCACATAGCGATGATGGGGGGTCATTGATATTGTCCTGCGGGATGATGTGGTTGATGGGTTGGAGGGTCTGAGTTTGGAGTATCCGGACGTTCACTGAGAGTGGGTTCACTGGGGCTGTCTGGAGCTGGGGGGATGCTACCCCTCTCTGGAAGTGCTTGGGTTGCCTCGGGGTGGGGGTGGGGGGGGTGGGGGGGGACTACAGGCGGTTGTGAGTGGGGCCCCTTGGGGGTCTTGGCAGTGGCCATGAGTTGCTGCCTAGCAGCTGCATTGCCCCTGAGTGGGTCTGGGTGGGGGCCTGGGGGCTCGGGGTGTGGGGGTGGCCGGCCCCGTGTGGGGATCTGGGTGGGGCCTTGGGGGTCGGGTCCTGATATGTATGCTGCTGGGAAGAAGGCGAGAACATGCGGCAGTGCCTGGCCCAGGCTCAGGGGCCTTGGGTAGACCTTGGCTCCTCTGCTGTCCCATCACGGGGAGGGGGATGTCCAGGAGGGGGAGGACCCATCCTTACCTGGATGTCCTGTGTCTTACATATTCTGGAATCTGTGCAAATGCAGGGAT